ATATGAAGTGCCAGAGCAGGCAGCAGGCAATCGTCTTCGTCTTCGCCTCCGACTTCTCGCTGATCACTCGCTCCACTCACTCTCTCTCTCTCTCTCTCTCTCTCTCACTCACATACAGTCTCAGGCGCAAACCGAGCAGCTAAACAAGAGTACGATGGGGCTCAGGGGGATAGCGATCGGGAGGAGGCAGTCGTTTGCTTTGCGATGTGGTGTGAGGGAGCGCGAGGGAGGTACGGTACCCATTTGACTGGCTTGGCTGGTGTGTAGCAGATCGGGGAAGGGGGAGGGAGCCATTCGGCTATGGTGTGGGAGATAGCGAGCCCAACGACGACGACACAACTATGTATGTATGTATGTATGAATGTATGCGTGTATGTACATCGCACACAAAGTCGAGAGCGAGGCGCGGAAAAGAGAGCGAGAGGGACACGGTACAACAATCTCATAAATACATACATATGTACATATTCTTGTACATTATTTTTTAACAAACGAATGATAACAGACGTTAATATTAATATTAATAAACGCAGCGCCTGCATTGTATGAACAATTTTTTTTCTTAATTCATCTTTTTGTTAACTTGGCAAAAATAGAAAACAAAATAAAAACAAATACACGAGGGTTGTGGAGAAATACGCAAAAAGCTACAAATAATTGAGGAACAATTAAGTGCGAGTTGTCTGTCCAGCATGGGGTGGCTTACAATGCAATTTATTATAGGAAATACATTTATATGTACATAAATACATAATACGTATGTACATACATACATATCTATGATGTTTGCTGAACATTTTCAACAACAATTTCAATCAGGGCTGGATCATAAACCGCTCTATCTTTTCCTCCTTCTCACAATCCTCTTGTAGGGTCATCAACTGCCAGTCAATCGGTGCTTGATACCCTTTGTTTTCAGGATGGTTTCAGTCCGGCTTTACGTGGGTAATGTGTATATATTGTACAAATGTTTGTACACTATGTATTCTTGATTCTTAAAATGCAGTCGGGTTAAGGTTCTTACACCAAAGAATTCATAAGATCTTTAAGTAAATTCAATGACCAACCATATGCACAAGGGGTTAGAAAGGGTATCAATGACTCGACTCCAGAAGCTCCCCCCAATCCTCTTTTGTCCTCATGGTTTTGCCCCAGCCTCTGCCAGCGCATGCGTGTGGCTGTTCCTGTGGCAGTGTGTGGGTGAGTGCGCGGCCTGCGCTGCATATTAATCGAGTCGAGTCGAGTCGAGTCGAATCGAATCGAAATGAAATGACGTTTGCCTCTTGAGGGTGAGCTGCAGAGGGGTAGGGGGAAGTAGGACTGCCACAACAGGCATAGAGAGCGGAGATTGAAGAGTTGTTGTTTTTTTTTTCCTGCACGGGTATCGGTCGCAGCAAGACCCAGGCAGCGGCAGGCCATTTGTAGGTAGGTAGCGGCGGCCTCGCTAACTCTCCCCCTCTTTCTCCTCCTCCTAGTCCACCACCACCTCCACCACCACCGATCACCGATCACCGATGCAGAGGCAGCAGCACAAGTAATGGCGGCAGTGTCGGGACATGTACAAACACACACACACACACACACATACATGCATACATACAGTGACGGGGGCAGCGTTATCGCCTTGGCAGGAAATGGAATTATATTCGGAGCCTCTCCTCCTTTCTCTGCTCACCACTCTCCACTCTCCACTCTCCGCTCTCCAGGGGAACAGGAGAGGAGGAGAAGCCAAGTGGAGGGTAAAGTAGATGTGCATACGCTGCATGTGAGCCATGAAACGTAATACGATGAACACTTGGCACAACATTTTCAGGATTTTGCCGGTTAAAAGCAAAACTAAGCATTTTTATTCATTTTCGGAAAAGGCAAGGGAGGCAAAAGCAAAACAGGCCCCAATGCATGTCTATATTTGTGTATTTCATAACGATGTAAACAAAAGTTATGCGAAAAGAGATAATTCCGACCATCATCTCCTCTCCTCTCCCAATCCGATCACATCTCCATAAACATCCACCCGACAAAAATATGCTTAGACCGCACGTCGATATGTGTGGGAAAGCCATGACCAAAGAGTCTCCTTTTACATCCCCCAAGCGGGGCCAGCGAATCATGAAAATTGAGACAATAGACAAATATGTGGCAGTGTCCAATTTGTTTACCTCCAGATAAATAGCTCGAGTGAATTACCCACTAAAAAAGTATGGTCCTGGGAAAAGTTGTATTGATGTCCACAATATTTATGGGAATTAAAAAATTCCCACCCAACCAATGGAATTTTTTCGCAAGTCGGTAAGTGGGGCGAGCTATGTTTTTAGAGAAAACATTGCCATGTTTATAAATTATTTTGTTTTTTTTTCCTCTCATCTCTCGTATTTCGCTTTTTTATACATAGGACAATGCTCCAGTTGATCTACATATGCACATTGGATATCATGGGAACGATATTTGTTTATTGATCGATCGAGTTCTACTGATATTCCTAACTAATATTTATCAATCGAAAGGCTTGGATTTAAAATAAAAAACAGGTTAGAGACACACTATGTGGATTTTGATAATGAAATTACCATGAGAATGTTAGCAAGCTTCAATGGGATTGGAGTGAACTATTTCGTTTCTGACAATTTAGTCGCCTGTGCGCGTTGCACCATGCAAAAGACGACGACGACAAAACAACAACGATCGCAGCAGAAGCAGTTTCTATTGTGTGTGTGTGCGCCCTTTCGCTTTCGGCAGCAAATTTACTGTTGTTGCTTTTGGCTGCAATTGCGGTCGGTCTGCCAAAAAAGAAAACAACAACAGGAAAAAACAGAAGCCAACAAGGAGAGGGAGAGCAAAAATGCTGCGTAATGACGGGGCGATTACACAAAAAGACAAAAACAAAAGCAACAAATTCATTTTCCATAGCAATCGCAGTCGCGATTACGATCGCTCTTACTGCTGGCTGCCTGCTGTCGGGCTCCGTCCGTTAACACTAGTCAACAAAATCGAGGCTTTACTTTTAAACCAAGAAACTGCAAGAAAATAACGCCTTGGTCCCATGAGTACAACTCGTGTTGACTAGTGTAATCGATAGCACAATAGGAAAGGAAGGCAGGCAAAGTTCGTTAAAAAATCACAGAAAATACAAAAAAGTTTTCGCAACTTTATCGGACATCAACCCTTCCCGCACGACAAATGGGTCTTGGCCTTATTCGCTGTGTTTGTTGTTGCTGTTGTTGTTGTTGGTTTTGCTGGTGGTGTACTCGTAGATGGGTTCTACTTGACCCCCGATGGCCCTGCATTTAGTTTACACAAATTCCCCCCCGACAGAAACCAAAACAAACTTGAAAACAAAACGGGGCGGGGGAAAGACTTTCGAAGTAGCGCAGGCCTAGGCGGCACTCAGAATTTAATCATATGGGGGAGAGCTTACTTTGTAGACTGTTCCGATGACTGATACGATTCCTAATGGTTGAACCCTATTTAGCAGTACATATGGCAAAAATGATTAAGCTTCACTTGGTGGCTTCACCAACTCCCTTTTCCTTTTCATTCCCCACNNCCCCCCCCCCCCCCCCCTCCACGTTACGCTGCCGCGAATCTCGTGTCAATGACAAACTTTGCACGTAACCGTTGCGCTGAAGAGTGGGAGGCAGAGGAAAGAGATAGAGAGAGGGAGTAGGAGTAGGAGACCACAGCAGCAGTCTTGAAGGCAAAAGCAACACACAAAAAAATAAAAACCAAAAATCACTAAAACACGAAAATCCGAACCCGGAACTGACTTAATCGAATTTGTTGTCGATCACCAACCAGCTGCTGCTGCTGCTGCTGCTGCTGCTGGTCCGACTGCTGCTGACGTCTCAGTCGCAGCAAGCAGCCACTAACTTTCCGCACGCACACACTTACATGCATTATAAATGATCATTATCATTTGCTAATGATGCTGCCGCCTGCCTGATGACGACAATTGCTGCGTTGCGTTGCCATCTCCTTTCAGTTGCAGTTACAGCGGATCACAGGGCACAGTGTAATCACAGATTACAGGGCTAGGGCATTCCCAGTCCCCCTCTCAACGGCAATCCTTTCATTTCACAATTACAACGATTGAGTGAAGAGAGCGTGAAACGAAACCGAATCGAAACGTTTCGAATGAAAGCCTGTCAGTCAGTCTGTGGCACTTGTTGTGGCCGCCACACCTAACACCCCTCCTCCTTGCCACTGCCCAAAGAACTTATCATTTTAGGAGGTGCCCCGTTCCCGCCAACCCGCCAACCAGCCAACAGGCGCAGCTTCTTATCAGACAATTTATTTAGTTCGTTTTCCAGTTAATAAATGTTGTTGTCGGGGTGTCGTTGTGCATTTTGATGTCGCCATCAAAAATTGTGAGTGTTTGCCAACCAAAATAATTATGAATCAGCTGAATATTTCGAATAATAACTCTCACACACACTCGCACACTCGCACACTCACACACTAGTGGGACGTGTAACGAAACGGAAACGTACGAAATGCGCAAAAAAGAATAATCGCCGGTGTTCCCCCCTCCCCGCTCCCCGCTCCACGCTCCACACCTGCCAGGCAGCGTGCAAAACAAAAGCTACACAAACTAACTTAATTAGTATTAGTGGAAATCACTCTGTGGAGATGTGAGTTGTAGTTCCTTGCAACAATTTTTGGTAGTCGCAGAACTATGTACTCCAATTTGAATCACCTGGAAAACACTTGCACTTGACTCACAGAAAACGTTTAAGAACAAAAAAAAAAAAAAACAATCAACTTTAAGTTGCAGTTGTTTTTCATTGCAAATGGACTTGGCTTCGAAACAGAAGTTAGTCCATTTTACAGGTTTAACTTAGGCAACACAAAACACCTGATTTCCATTTTGTACAATTAAAAACAGTTTTGTGTTTTTCCCGGAAATTCAATTTCTAACAGTGGAGGGGAAGTCCAATGAAAGGAGAATAAGTGCTAGCCATTCCATGGAACCTTCTAGGGACTACATTCGGTAGATGACTTACCGTCTGGAATATGTCGCCGCATTCAAAGTAATGCGAATTGCCGACTGTTGCCGTCGATTTCTGCACTATTGTGGCAGACATTTTTGTTGTTGGGTGCCTGCGCTGCTGCGTCTCCTGTTGTTTATTTTTCCTTTAATTTCCCAGCCTTCTGATTGAACTTGATTTGCTGTTTTCGGACTTGATGATTCGACAAGGCGACAGAATTATCTTTTCTTTTCTTTTCTTTTCTTTTGATTGTTACTTTTGCAAGGGAAGGGGGGGATTGATTTCGTTTGAAATTTGATTTGTTTTTGATTTGCTTTGCACTTGAACTATTTTTTTCACATTTCACAAACACAAAAAATGCAGCTGAAAAGAGGAAGAAGGTGAAGATACGATGGTTAGGAGAGGAATGACAAAATTCGGTGAGGAGAGGTGAGGGAGCGCCGTTACACGTGCAAACGGGAACGGCTTGGGTACACAAAGTGCTTGTGTCTGTGTGGTGGTGTCTGCTCGCCTGCTTGCTTGCTCACTCGGCTTACAAATTGATACTCTGTGTGTGTGCGTCCTTACGCACATGTGCAAGGCACTTAAACGGAAAAGGAGGAGAAGCACAGGCAGAATCAGAACGAGGAGCTAAAAGGAAGAGCAGAGGCTCAAAGCAGAGACAGTGCAAACTGACGTTTCGTTGCATTTGGGTTTGCTTTTGCTTTTGCCTTTGCTTTGTTCCTTTTATTCTTTTCCCAAAAACAGCAACAGCCGATTGGGTCCCGTCCCTCCTGTCCAACCGTCCGTCCATCGCGTGTTTGTGCCTGTGTCCACGTGTGTGTGTGTGAGTGTGTTGTTTGCTTTGCTTTTATCGTCTTCGTTCTCAAAGCAAGCAAGAGATAAGCTCCCTGCTCGTCCCCGACCCGACCCCTCCGGAGCACTCATCGTCAACCGTACCGTACTGTCAGAGCGCAAGTGTGACTCGCAGCTCGGTGTGTGTGTGTGTGTGTGTGTGTGTGTTTGTGTTGGTGAGAGATCTCCAGTGGTGGTTGTTTTAGCTCGTATCACATGTCTGTGTCCGTGTCCGTGTCCTCAGTGTGTGTATGTTGGTAAATTTTATTTTATTGCTGCGCAAGCAGGCAACGGCAACTGCGACTGCGACTGCGACTGCGACTGCCATGATAGCGACTGCCTGTCGGAGACTTTGTTATACCCGGTACTCGAAGAGTAAATAGGGTATATTTTATTTGTGCACAAAGTGAATGTATGCAACACACAGAAGGAAACGTCTCCGACCCCATAAAGTATATACATTCTTGATCAGCATCAATAGCCGGAGTCGATTGATCCATGTCTGTCTGTCCGTCCGTCCGTCTTGTTGGGCGCCTGGATCTCAGAGACCATATAAGCTAGAGCCACAAAATTTTGCATCGAGACTTCTGTATGCTCACACTGCTACAAGTGTGTTTCAAAAATGAGCCACGCCCCCTTCCGCCCCCGCAAAAGGGCGAAAACCTCCCAAATCTACAATTTTGAATGATCACCAAATTGGGATCCGATTGGATCATTATTATAGCCAGAATGAATAAATTAATTCGACCCTTTCCAATGTCCGATTAGGCATCTCTCCATCACTACTACTACTACTACTACCACCCTTCTCTACTTGCTTTCCATCCTTATTCTGTGTTTTCAATTCTTCCCGTCACCAAAATTCTTACTCGGCCCTTTTTGTGATCAGCCTGTTCCACGGATCCGGGCATCATATTGCACTCCCACACTCCAGCCAGACAATGCAAAAATAACAGCAACAAAAACCAATAGAATTTGCACTGCTTTGTTTAGATGGCCCGCGTTCACTTCAATGAGAGTAACAAAAACAAAACAAAAAAAACGTGGAAAATGCAACAAGTGACACCACACACAGACACAGGCACGTTGGTTGGATTTTGATAAAAAATTACTTTGATTGCGGTCGCCGAAAAGAGATCCTGGCGGTGGCACACTACTTTGCACTTGGTTTTCCGTTTTCCGGCAAAACAACAGCAGAGACAAGCACAAGCACGTCCGTTGGCAACGACAGTTTTTGAAATTTTGGATGAAAAAGCACACGGCGGTTCGCTTATTATTTTATTGACGGTCGGGGAAATTGTCTCTGCGGTCAGGGAAATACTCTCGTGCGTCTAAGCGGTCAGGGAAATTCTCTCCTGCAACGATCAGGGAAATTTTCTCCTGAACGGTGAGAGTGTGACCGCGGATAAAATACACACAAAAAATCCAAAACATACCTTGTCAATCTAAGAATATACCAAATCGTGAATCTATTGTTTCGATTTTGAGATTCTGAATAATATTATTAGCTAATTCGGACTCTCAGCACTAAAACTATAGTTTTGTTCGATTCATCAATCGATTCTCCACAAGATTTGCTGGTTTTCAAGCCTTTTCTTTGTTTAATTGTTTACAAAATAAGGTTGAGGCTGATAAAGGTAAATATAAAACATGTATAAAACTTAACGAAACTGGGAGTGAAATGTTACGATATTTGACCGCTTATTGCTTGTAAGCCAGCATTAATGTCCAAATTCCGTTTACCAAGCTGCTTTTAAACATTAGTAATGATTTTATCTTACAGAAGCATGCAAGGTGTGTGACCGAGACAGGGTGTCCAAGAGCCTCAGAAATATACCATCCCCAGTTAAAAAATACCGCATGTTGCTAGAAAATACCATAGGACCGGACGACTTTTGCTGTTTATTTATTATATTTTCATTTAATTTATAGAGGTTTGGTGCTGGTAAGCCCCCCCGCGCAGAAACCCCACTTGATGCAAATGTTATTTTGAAATTATTCAATTGAGCAAACAATACCATCGGAATATACTCTTTGTGGGGTAGTCGAAATCGACCAATTACCAATCGATAACGATTTAGGGCTGACTGGGTCAAGTGTCATGGCGCGTTCTTATTGAATTTGTTTGTCTAAAACAGATTAAGCTTTGCTTTGCACCATTCGCAGAAACCCCACTTGCTGCATATGTTATTTTGAAATTATTGAATTGAGCACATAATACCATCGGAAAATACTCTTTGTGGGGTAGTCGAAATCGACCAATTACCAATCGATAACGATTTAGGGCTGACTGGGTCAAGTGTCATGGCGCGTTCTTATTGAATTTGTTTTCTAGAACAAATTAAGCTTTGCTTTTCGCCATTACTAAATGGAAAAGAACCCACGCTGTAGATTAAGGTCTTCCCAGTGATAATCAAATAACATTTATAACATAAATAAATAACATTTATTTCATTTGGAAAATATTCCACCATAGATAGGCAATTAAAATCCAATTTGAATTCATGAAATCATATTTACAGTTTCCCATAAGATGGCAAGTTACGAATGCTGCCGCAGTAAGACGAATAACTGTAATCGATGCAAGCAACTGAATGCCGCCATGCGCTGGATGGCCCAGGCCCGAATTGTTGTCTTAAATTCAGGGCTCCGCATTGCCCTATTGTACATAGGACACGTACTACATTATTATTACGTATCACAGCGATTTGTACGAATACTTATGCATTGCAATGTTCCGTTTTGCGTGCTCTCTGCGCACACAAACGCAAAAAACGGCGCAAGCCTGCCCAGCCCTGGCCTGGTTTGCCTGCAAATGAAATAAGAAATGAATTGAAGCGAAACTAATATTAGCTTTTACCTGATTGAAGTATTGTGAATGCATTCTGCAAGTGCAGCGAATATCCATATCCGACAAGTGGCCGTTGTAGGCTATCCCTCTCTCTCTCTCTCAGTGGCCAATGCATTTCCTGGTTGCCCTGTAAGAAGAAGAAGAAGAAGAACTCCCTGCCCAGCCCTGCCCTGTACATTATATTTCGTAATATTCGATGGGGTTTCCTTTCCCTCACTGCTGCCTTGCCTGATGCAAAATCTTTTGGGCTCTACTATTATGTTAGCTAGTTCTATTTTTCAGTCACGTCCTCAAAGAATTCGCAGATTTAAATTGGTTTTTGTTGTACATTTTTTAAATAGTTATTTAATTTTCCATAGTTCTATATAGATCCACGATCGATTGATTAAAGGCTGTGCCTGGCTTTTGTTCCTGCACCGACCAGCATTGATGACTGCTCGCTGCTCTCTCCTCTCCTCTCCTCTGCTCCATCTATGTATACCCCTCTCTGTCTGTTCAGTGGCGAGGTGGCTGCTGCTGCTGGTGCTGCCGGAGTCCGCCGAATCGATCCGATCGACAGAACGATTTACATAATTTCAACATATTTATTGATGTAATTCAAAAAATTAAATATAAGTTATGTTTATAATTATTACTGCCTTACTATGCAAAATTACTTTGCAGTTTTGCGTTCGGTTTTTTTTTTCATTGTTTTTTGTTGGTTTTTTTTGTGTGTTGTGTTTTTCTTTTTTATGCATTATATTATTATGTATTATTATTTGATGATTTTGTATCATGTTTTCTTCTTCTTCTTCTTTCTTTTTAACTCTTCGTTTGCTTTAATTCTTTAATGCATTTCCCCCCCTCGAACACGTCCTCTGGCGCATCCTCATCCTCCCTTGGCTTCTTTGCTTCCTGGCAACCATTACTTCCGCTGCGAATTTACTTGTTTGTTTTATTTATTGTGTGTGTGTGTGTGTGTGTGTGTGTGAGTGTGTGTGTGGCTTCTGCTTATTTTGGATGCGATTTCAATTAGTTATTGAGTCGTGATTCGCAGCCATAATCAAGCAGTGGGCATGGAAATTGATTGAAATCAATTTAAATATTTGTTTGTTATATATTTTTCGTTATATATATATATATATATATATATATATTTATAGCGCGTACCGTAAGTGTTTCGCTTTGCATATGTATACTCCGGACACATGCGACATGCGGGCGATCGAGCGGATCGCACCGTTATGAATATATATTTTAATGTTATAATGGGATGCGATTTCAATCTTGCAATGTTGAATTTGAAATCGACAAGCAGCAGTGGTGGTGTTGTTGGTGTTCGTGTTGGAGGTGCGAGACAACTCGGATATAAAATCAATTTCAATTTCAATTCAAAAATGGTTCTACCTGCATATACATATACATATCACATACACACACATATTTACATATATGATGAGCACATAACTGGCCTATGTACATATATATATATATATACATACGTATACACGTATATATATATACGAAATTTCTTACGATTTTTGCTGTTTGTTTGTTCCGCTCTACATTGATTCTGTTGAATTTGTTATACTAAGTGTGTGTGTGTGTAGGGTGTGTGTGTGTGTGAGTGTTTCCTTTTCTGATATTGGCTTTACTTGCCAAAACCAATCGTCAACTGTGTTGTGTGTGTGTTTTTTTCTGGCTTGTTCCTTATTCTTTTAATATTGAATTTTTAATTAATTAATTACGAAACATCCTATTTCCCGAATCAGTGTATTCACTTCGCAACTCCACACAAACCTTTTCTGTGTTTTCTTTTTCTTTCTTTCTGTTACTCGTTTCTGTTTCGGATTCTTTCTTTTCATCTCTCTTCTTTCTCCTTTCTCCTTTCTTATTTCGCATCGCAGTGTTTTGTGTGTGTTTTCTCTATCGTTATCCATTCCGCTCTTCCTTACTTTCCCACTCTTTTCTTTTCCCTTCGTTTTCTTTTCATTTCTCTTATAGTGTTTTTGCTTTTGTTTTTGTATGTTTTATCCCCCCCCCCCCACAGTGTTTTTTGTTTGCAATTTGCTTCAACAACCGCCCGCCGTGAATGCATCGCCCTAGTCCGCAATCAGCGGCTTGCCGTTCTGCTTCTCCTTATCCTTGTCCAATTGTTCCAGGAGTATTGCAGGATTCGCCTGACCCTGATGGGTCTTCTGCTTCAACATTGTCCAGTCGTAGATGTAGTCATACTGATGGTTCAGAGTCCTAAACAGTATGCTGCAAAACACAAACAAAAACCAGATGAAAGATTGCAATTATGATTTGAATCAATAGATACGATAGATAGAGGGAGAAAAGCCTTAGCTTACCGGAACAATTGACGTAGGTACATGTAGTCCGGCTGTTCCTCGAAACGCAAGCTACGGCAATAATTCAAATACATTGAGAACTCGGCCGGCGAACCCTTGCACAGCACCTCGATGGGCGTTGACATTTTCTTCTCTGAGATTTTCTCATATTTCTGTTGCTTGTTGTTGGCCTTCATGCCCTGCCAGGGCAGGACGCCGCGATTGAAGTACATCATCACATAGCCAAGGGACTCCATGTCGTCGCGACGCGACTGCTCGATGCCCAGATGGGCATTGATCGAGGCATAGCGGGCGGTGCCCGTCAAGTTCTTATCCTCCCTGTACAAGATGTGGTGGCGCGTGTGCGGATCCCGATACTTCTTGGCCAAACCAAAGTCAATCAGGAAGAGCTTGTTGCAGTGGCGACCGATGCCCATGAGGAAGTTGTCCGGCTTAATGTCGCGATGGATGAAGCACTTCAGATGGATATACTCAAGGCGACCGATCATCTGATCGACCAGCATCAGCACTGTCTTGATGGTGAAGTGACGCGTACAGAAATTGAATAGATCCTCCAACGAGGGGCCCAGCAGGTCCATCACCAGCGTATTGAAGTTCTTCTCCTTGCCGTGATGGCGGATGCGTGGGAAGCCAACGCCGCCGCTCAGGATGCGATACAGCTTGGCCTCGTACAACAGCTGGGGATGACGGGCATGGGCACTCTCCATCTTGATGGCCACCTCCTCGCCGCTCTGGATGCTCATGCCCAGATAGATGTCACCGAAAGAGCCGCTGCCTAAACAGAGACAGAGACAGGGAGAGAGAGAGAGGGAAAGAGAGTTATCTCAGCTCTCCACTATGTCTACTTGGAACATACCTATCTTGCGTATGACCCGATATTTGCCACCGATAATTATTTCGGGGCGGCTTTCCTTCAGTATACGCATCTTGTCCATGATGGAGGCGTTCTCCTTGCAGGCCTCGCTGACTCAGCAATATAGTAGGCTCGTGAGCGCGATTTCTGTAATATACATGAAGAGTGTCAAGAAGAGTTACCATACCATACATGGGCCACATGGGCCTCTCGTTAATCTTTGGTCACTTTCTTTTTGGCCCCGTTTCTCTTTGGCGCTGTGGTTGCGCGCTCGCTCGGTCCCCCCCTTCCCCGTTTCCCTTTGCCGCTGTGTGTCCCAACAACCTGACAGCCTGACAACCTGACAACCGAAATGCGCATTTTCATAAGCAAGTTAGCATTAAATCTATATAATTTCATCATCGATTTACAGCGACCGACAACTGCAAATTTATTTGCACATGTCGCACATGTCGGGTCGGGTGTCGCGGGGTGTCCTATGCACACAAAGGCCCAATCGTAGGGCCGTTCCCTGGGTTTATTGGCGGGGAACACGAGTGTATGTATGATTATTTTTGTATATTTATTTGGTTTTTTTTCCATGGAAAGATTTCTAAATAAACAAGGCGTCGGGGGGCGCCACATAGAAACGGAACGGGACAGGCTTCTTCTTCCTCTTCATTTTTCCCTCATTTTACCCCGTTGGAATGCATATTACGCGCACACACACAGCACACACTCTCATCCAATCAACACTATGACGCACAACAACAGCAAAGACAACAAGCAGCAGGCCGCAGTCAGGCCACCAACACATGCGGATGACACACTAATACAGCCACATACGCATACAGCTGCATGCACAGTTGCACCTTACAAATGTTTTACACAAAAGAAAATTTTGAGCCAAGCACTCGCACACATACTGCCACTGCCTGCCACACACACACACACACACAGGAACACACACAAACCACACAGACGCAGTTAGCACGCATTTCAACTGGATGGAAAATGTATATTCGTGAGGAAAGCACGTAAAATGTCCATCCACAACCTAATATTCGTCGTTGGGCGACATTTTTTGCCCCAAAATCTTACCACAGATGAGCAATTGAGCAGGCGAAACTTTTGGAACTGCTGTGCTGGGTGTTTCTCAAGGTTGGCTCTTCACTCACAAAAATTTTTTTTTACGGTGGAAAAAAAATTAAATGGGAAAATCGCGTTGGAGATTGGTCGTTTCTCGCAGCAAGCTAGACTTTTAACACCCGGACAACGTTAGAAGAATAGTTTTTTAGCAGTTAATGTACGCGCACAACCGAAATAAGGAGAGGAAATATATATATTTTATGAACTAAAATAAAAATGGTAGACTCCAGCAAAAATGCTTTTGCTAGGGAGCAGTGTGACCGGATTTATCGATAAAATATATCGCCTGACCCTCAAAAATATACCGAAAGACAAATTCTCATGCTCAAATATACCGTAAATGTACCCAATCGTTGAATGTTTCCTCAATTTGTATATTCTATTTAACATTGCCCCAGCTAGGTAAGACTCTCAGCACGAAAACTATAATTGTATCTGATTAATGAATCAATTCTCCACAATATTGGTTAGTATTCATGACTTCGTTTTTTTGGATTGGTTACAAAATAAGATTCTCGGCATCACAGCCCTATGGCCTTTAATGTACGTTTAAATTTGACTGAGAGCTAAATTTGATCTAGGCCCATAGCTTTTGGGAAAATTGTATGCCATTATGGTAAAAAAAACGAATTAATGAGATTTTGGTTAAATGTAGCTACACACAAATATCGATATATATTTTGTACTAATATTTAACATTTTGCAGCGCCATCTGTTGGAAGTGAACATGATGTCTATCTGTTGCAAGAATTCAACTTGCGATAGCAGTCCGCAATAAGTATTTTCATGGCACGGTAATAAAATCAATTGAAAGCGTGAGGATGGTCTGCGTAATTTACAAATGTTGCCTGTTGCAACATGTAAATTTATCTTGCAAGCTAAAAGCTAAAATCGTGCTTGTTTTAAGCACTATCGATATCGCATATCGATTTGCACACGCAAATTGCGGAAGATTCAAAAGCCATCGCCGTGCTGTGAGCTGTGATACGAGCAACCACTGCGGACAGACAGCTTTAGAGACGAGTTTTATGAAATGTTTTAGTTGTTTCTTTTTTTTGGTCTATATATTTTTATTAAAAACAGCTTTTTTTTGTTGGTTTTGTTTTGTTTGTTTTTGTTTTTGTTTTTGTTTTTGGTTGTTTTTGTTTTTGTAAATAACGTGACGACTTGAAAACAGAAATTAAATAAGTGTACTTTACTCGTAATGTAGTAGAAAGTGTTATAAAAGCAATATTACAATAACTGTGGTAGAATTGGCTCCTAAAATAGATATTTTACAACTGATACCACTTTTTGTCTTTATATTTAAGCATTAATTGATGCGCTGTACCGCTGAAATCTTGAGCTGTATTGGCCATACGCTCGGCGCGCTCCTCCAAAATATTGAGCTTCTCGCCGCGCTCCATGGCCAGCTGGTGCGCCCGACTAATCTCCGATGCGGCCGTGGAAGCACGTGTGCCGAGCTGCTCCAAATTGGGTCCGGGTATATGCCGTGCAACCGAACGATTTGCTTTCCCGCTCTGCTCGCCAACTGCAAGCCAAGAGTCAAATCAAATCAAATCAAATCAAATCGTGGGGTGGGGTGTTGTGTGGCAAAACTTACAAAGCTCCTCGCGATCCAATTGCTTGGACCCGCCGCCAAACAGACCCTTAAAGAAACTCTCCTTCGGTTGCTCGGGCATTTCGTGTACCGTATATAGTTCACCCATCATCTCCAAAATAAATTGACTGCAAAAATGGCAAAGATCAAGATCGGTTTCAACTGTGGCCACAGCGTGTGTGGGGCTGGCTGATGGCTTACCAGAATTCCGATGATATCGTGAATTTTTGAATTTCGGTGGGCGATGCCATGTACAATCCATGACCTTTATGACTAAAGCAAAATATTTTTGATATTCTGCGGAGGATGGGCAAACAGAAACGAATCAGATCAAATGCAATCAAATCTGGCACTGGGCTTCACTTACTGAGTTGTGTCTTCGTGAACAATGATCTGTTGACCCCATATCGAGAGCATTGGATCCACAATTCCCTGTTTGCATTTTGTTTGAAAACTAGAGAGACAAAATGTGAGTGGCAGTGGCAATTGGTTGCTTTAATTGGCTCTCACCTTAACTCCATAAGCGGTAAGAAATCAGTATCCAATAACAGTTTTAGACTAGGAAGACTATGTACCATTAGATGGCCATTCGAAAGATAGGTTGCTAAGCAAGAGCCATCTGCAAGAACGACGAAGAGAGAGAGAGAGAGAGAGAGAGAGTGAAATATTTGTAGGTAGGGAGTAAATATTTGTAGTACCCTTCATCGTGATAGTTTCTGCCTTGACTGCAAAATCCATTTCCGATAATTGTATGCGATTGATGCAGCACTGATTGGCCACATCGAAGACTTTTGTTTGTTTCTCGCTTGCAATAACGATATATTGTCGATCGGTGAGTGTTTCCAGGCCGGTGCTGATGCTGCCGCTGATGCCGCTGCTGCTTGGGCTGGCGCTGCTGCTGATCATGCCACCGACGGCGCCACCGCCACTGCTGCCCGCACCTGTGCCACCTGCTCCCCCAGTGCCCGCAGCCCCACTGCCAGCAGCAATGCCAGCGCTTCCTCCAAATCCTGCTGCTGCTGCTGCTGCTGCTCCTGCTGATGCTGCAGTTGCGCCACCGCTGCCACCGCCGCCACTGCTGCCACTGGCACTGCCGCCGCCGCCACCAGCACTACCCCCCGCCACGCCGCCAGCGACCGAAGTGTTTGATATTGTATTGGCAGTTGTTGGTGTGAATGTGGGACTAGTGCGGCTGCTGCTCTTAGTGGGTGTGCCTGCCAATCGATTGAGGATTCAAATGGGTGGATTCAAATAAATGGATTAATTTTGTGCATTAATTACGATCGGTCTTGTCCCGCTTCTCGTCACGCCAGGTCTCAAATGTAAAGGGTATGATCGAGCCGTATGAGTCTAAAAAAGACATGGAAGTTATGGAGCCTTTGAGTCGAACCACGGGTCCGCCTGCAACAAAATGATACAAAGATTCCATGTATCCGGTGGAGACTGTACAGTTTCGATGACTAGTTTCAATCACTCACCATTTATTGTGATCAATACTGGCTGAGATTTGCGCACATCTCGTTCCGGCATGGTGATGAACAAGGTCAGTATCGAACCGAAACTAGTTCCAATCCACAAAGTAGGAACAAGTGTCAAAATATCTACAATTGATTGACGCAAAATGAATGGAATGGAATTTAATTGAATGCTCGGAATGTCTGGCTCCATTTCATTTGGATTATTTTGTACTTTACCATTTCGTTTGGCATAACTCTCAATGAATGCTAAACAGGTAACAGATTCCGAGGAAGACATATCAATGCTGGACATTGACGATGATCTGGATCTTGAGAAAGTTCCATCCAATTTATCTGTAATTTAGTTGTTCGGATTTTTGGTTTTTGTTTTTTTTTCGGGGTCAGAATTGGTTTAAGTTTGATGATCGCATACAGCATACAGGATACAGGATACAGGATACAGAAAAAAGACAAAAGAATAAACAAAATTACACCAAAATTGTTAAATATTTTATGTCATTATCAAGTCAAACAGAGGAGAGAGAGAGGACGATAGAGAAAGAGTTTTTTATATAAAGAGTGATAAATAGAGAGATAGAGAGAGAGAGAGAGAGAGAGATAGTAAAAGCGGCGGGCGGTAGTAGGCAATTTTTTATTCATTGTTTTGTATTTTTTAATTATTTAATCGAATTGTTGGTTTTCGAATCTATTTCTATTCGAATTGGAATTACTATGCTTTTGCATTACTTTCGCACTACTCGTATTTGCTTTGCTCTGCACAAGACTCGTATGAAATCGCTAGGCTGCCTAATTGTTGCGCTTCTTGCTCTATGCTTGTGCATGGATGATGTCTATGTGTGTGTGTGTGTGTGTGCGTGAGTTTTGTGTCTGCGTGTAGCCGTCTCTTTCTTTCCTTCCATACGCTGAAGAAAGCTTGCGGCATTTGATACGTACATATGACATATGCTTGCTTAGGGTTTTCGTTTACCGTTCAACTAGTACTTTGGGTTTGGGGTTTGTAATTCATTTACTGGACTGGGGTTAAGCTTTCTATGGATTGAAATTGAGTTTGAGTTTGCGATTGAGTGAGTGCAGAATCGTTTAAGCGGCAGGCGTCTGACTAAATATACGAAAAACAAAACGAAAACAAAAACATTTTGCTTGCATTTCGTGTGCAGCTGCTCTATGTGTGTGTGTGTGTGTGAGCGTGAGTGCGCGTTGGTGTGTTTGTGTGTGAACTATGCAAAAGTTGAGAGTTTTTGCCAATGCAAATTCCGATCTGGGGGGGGGGGGGTTCTGTTACTCTATACTCTATTTATGTTATGTTGTTATGTGTGTGCGTGTGTGTGGCATAATTCCAGTTAGTACAATTCTTGGTTTAATTGTTGCTGTTATTTGTTTCATTATTTCACTTTCAAAGCGTGCCAAATGCAATTACAAATACCGAAGGAGAGATAGAGAGAAAGATATAGAATATAGGAGACGTAGAGACAGAGCAAGAGATCAAGAGAGAGAGAGAGATAGATAGATATATAGAGAAACAAGGATAGAGAGAGATAGAGCGAACGAGCGAGCGACAGAGAGAGAGAGAGATCATATTCATATGCACTTATATTTATCTAGATTTATCTAGGGGTACAAAGAGAGAGAGAGAGAGATAAAGACAGAGAGAGAGAGAGCGAGCTGGCGAACGAGCGAGAAAAAGAGACAGATAGAGCCCAACTCAAACCGCCCCACGCGCACCAAGTAAAGAAACCAAAATTCAAATTAAAATTCAAATCCAAATTCAAAGACAGCACGCAACACACACACACACACACACCGCTGAGTTGCTGGCTGGGGGGCTGGCTGTGGGGGAGAGGGGAGAATGGCGGGCGTGCCTCTGGCGAAAGGCAAACCACACAAGCAACGTGTCAAAACATGACACACAGAGAGACAGAGAGAGAGAGCGAGAGCGAGAAAGTGTACGAGCGAGACAGAGAGTATGTGTGTGTGACCTGTGTGCCGTGCTGTGCTGTGCTCTGTGTACGCGCTAGAGTGAGACAGACACCCAGAGAGGAGAGTTGGTGGGTGTGTGTGTGCGTGTGTGTGTGTGTCTGTCTGTGGGTACGTGTAAGAGAGAGAGAGAACGCATGTTGTTTCTGTGATTTGTTGGTGCATTTGCATTTGTTGTTATTGCAGT